GTGCACTCAGAACTAAGATGCAGTGAGTGAGAGGGAATCTATCCCCAAGCCCCACAGATATTGCTCTCAACAGAGAAAAAAAATCCGCCTCAACTGTATAACCATCCATTTCTTACAGAAAATTCAGCTCCATTAGAATCTTATAGGACCACCGTCCTATATGTGGTCTGTCGTTTACCGAAATATCGTTTAGTGGCACATGACTGTTGATATACTGTTATTTAATCTACAAACTGTATTTGGTTTTCCAAGTGTTCTGTTCATTCTTTTTAATTAAAAACTGTCCCCCCATTTTTTAGTGAAAAATTAAATATGGAAAAATGCACCCAAGTACATACAGTTCTAAAATTTCCAGAAAATGCATAAAGGGCCTCTAATGGTCTGGGCTGAGGATGGTTTCCTGACCGTCCCCAAGGAATAAGGCCTCTCTACAGGCCTAGGCCCAGGGTGCATTTCTGCAGGTTTTATTCTAGTTCTTTTTCCCAGTTTCCATGGGTTTTCCTCTGTGCCCTAAAAGTGCCGGTATTTGCCGCACTGACCTCAGCAGCTTAAGATTTTTGTGCCATAGGGGGCTTTGGGCCTTTCTCTGGAGGACTTCTGGGGCCTTTCCCTAGGCCTGCACCACTAGGAGCTTCAGGACTTGCCCTGTCTCCAGCCTTTTTCTTGAGCTCTGGGGAGGTCCCCAGAGAAAAGCCTGGGAGAGGGTAGGAATTTCCCTTGTGCCTGAAGCTCCCAGGGGTTCTACCCTCTCTCACTAGCCACACTCAGCTTTCAGCAATTTGTTAAAATTGTTACTTGAATTCTTACCAGCGTGGATGACATCTGGCATTTCCAGCAGGTAAGTGAGTAGCAGCGTCCTACCTGTGTTTCCTGAGATTTTGAATTAGTTGGTTGCCTTGCAAGCACAGCTCTACTATGATGGGTTTGAGAAAAGCTGTGATTTCATAGATTAGTTAACAGCTTTTGTTGTTGTTTAAAGAAGGAAAACAGCCTCTTTCTGGTTTTCTACACCCTGACTAGAAGACATCTATTTTATATTTTATTTTATATTTTATATAAAAATATTTTATATATTTTTTTTATCATCTATGAATTTTACCTTACTAAGGAAACATTTGGAAAGAAAAGCTGTTGTTTCCTGACATATCAGTAATGAAAAAAAAAATCTTTTAAAATATTCAGGTGGCTGCGCATTCTCCTTGGAAAGTTCTCTCCCAGAGAACAAGCAATCATATGAAAAATTAAAAAGATCACATCTTTAACAGGACAGATCCAAGAGTAAGAAGCAGTGGAGAAGAAGCTGGGGTTGACATTTAGATTTAATTATACCCTCAGATAGACAGGTTCTTTCCTGCAGCTTCTTCTGACTCATGCAGAAATCATTGTATATCATTTTCCTGACCCTTCTAAGTAAAAATATCTGATAGGATGGCATTCATCTTTGCCAAGCTAAGGCAAGGACTTACTTGCTTAAAGGCTTTAGCCAGATAGTCTGCTCTGAAAAATTATAGAAAGCCTTTAAGTATTTTGAAGGGAAACTGGTGATTAAATGGGGTGGGGGGTGGAAGTCTTTATTATAGGTAAACCCAGCTGCCTGGAATAGCTACAGTGTTAACAATTGTATATAAAATGTCTATACTATTAAATAATGCAAAATAAATTCCTGAACATGGAGCTGATCCTCACATGATAATTGGCTACTCGGTAGTTTCCCCCTCAGGGCTCAGCAATGAAGACACAGCAGCTTTTAACTTTATTAGGAAATTGTATCATTTCTAAAAAGCTGCTAGTTAGTCATAAACATTTATTGAATGTTTTCTATATCAGCTGCTGCAGAAATCTGAAAGATTGTAAAAGGAATAATTCCTCTAAATAATTGTCAGAAAGGTATCAAGTCCTTTCTGGACCCACTTTTTCTGAATATATAATCCCCGGTGATAATTCATCGTCTCCTCTTTCTGCCACACTGTTCTGTCCTTTAGGGTGAGGAAAGGCAACCATAGGTTTCCTTTTAGTGTTTTCCCATGAACCTTTAACCTCCCGTACACGTGGCTAGGAAGCCTCTTGACTCCTTGACCAGTGGCCTCATACATCTCCTTGACTACCCCAAACTACCTTTTAACCAGGTACTTGGTTGAATGAAGCAGTCCTCAGTCACCTTCACAGAAGAAACTGGAGAAAACTAATCCATGCCAAAGTATCATTTACTGATACATCTTTGTTAAGAGGATATCTTTCTTATACTTAACATTTTTTTTTCTTTAATTAGAATGATGATGGGAGACTCTCAGGTAGATATCCTTCAACTGTCCTTCACATCACTCTGGGCTGGTCACCTCGTCTGTACGTAGACAGGCCCTTCTACGCTCAAACGCAGGGTGAGGCTGCAGATGAACTCTTAGCAGAGCATGTTTCTCAGCAGGCGTGATGGGGTTGGCTGTGTTATCCGCACATTCCCGCCTATTCCTTCCCATTACGCCTGTGCGCACAGTGCCATCTTTGGAAGCAGAACAGATTTTCCTTCTCTCATTTCTTCTGCTTAACTATGCAGCTTGGAATCCGAGTGTTGGCTTAGTGTTTGGGGCTTTATATTTAACTGGCACCCATCCCTATCCAGGGTTCTGGAGCTCCCAGCACCACCAGGGTTCCTGGTAAGAACAGACCCATGTCCCTGCCTGTCTCCTCTAACTAAGCAACAAAGAGGGGGAGCACTCCTCCTTCAGGGGTGAGTCTCCAGGGTTGACCGGAACATCCATGCACAATACTGCATGAACAGTCACTGTGCTCTCGCGCATGCTAAGGCATTGTGCCTGGCTCAAGGGTCACGAGGGTGAAAAAGACATTCGAGAGAGTTCTCTGCAATTTGACCATTGTAAGGAACTGGTTCGAAGTCTTCTAGAGTTGGATTGAGGGGGCAAAACTGTAACCCCACACTTTGCATTAATTTGGAAATACAAGATGGCAGAGACCAAAAGAACCCAAGAGTTCAGCCTAGCCAACTTCCTGTGAGGGGCTAGGATGGGCCAAGAAGAACTGAGCACTTCACTTCGACAAGAGAGTCTCCACTTGTATTCACTTTATTTTGCTCTCTCCCATGTAAGATTTGTTTTAATGAAAGGGACCCCCTCTAAGGATGCGTGCAAAGATATATAAAAGTGTTCATTGAAGCGTTGTTTATAATAGGGAAATACTGGAAACAACCCAAATGTCGACTATTAGGACAATGGATAAGTTGTAGGCTAGTTATTCAATGGAATACTGTACAGAGAGAAAATTAATAAACTGGAACCATGTGCATATTCACAGATAAATTTTATATAGGTAGTGTTGAGATTTCAAATACAAATTGGATGCATAAATATCACTTATTTGAAGTTTGAACTATTAAAAATAATATTGTGCATTGTGTTAGAATCTACACATATGTAGCTAAAGCATAAAAACATGGATATGAGTGATGCATATATATTTCAGTGAGAGATTTCCTCTCTCCTTTGGGAAATGAGACTGGGTACATGGAAGTTTCAATAGTATCTGTACTATTTCATTTTTTAATATGGTGGTATATAGATAAATGTTTGTCTTTTTTCCTGTAAATTGTGTGTGTCTGAAATATTTCATTATAACACTTTTAAAAAGAAAGGATTTTATTGACTTAAAAAGCTTGAAAGCTCATGCATGAGCTAGAAAAGGGGGCTCAGGAATACTAATACTCTAAGTTACAATGGGCTCCAACAGTATGGTGATTACCAGAGGGTAAGGAACAGGTGGGGGGGGGAGTTAGAAAAGGGTAACACGGGGATAAATGGTGTCGGAAGGAGACTTGACTTTGGATGGTGAGCACACAATATACAGATGATGCATTATAAAATTGTACACTTGAAACCAATATAATTTTATTAACCAATGTCACCCCAATAAATTCAATTAAAAAAAGGTACAGTGGTCTCCAAGCAAGCCTCTGTGGCCCTTTCCAGGAGTCACTGTCTAAAGCCCATCCTGCTTTCTGGAGTAGTGGCTGTCAAGCCTTTGCAAGCCTATAACAAAATACATATTTGACCCCTACCCCCTCCCCTCCCCTTGATTCTCATTTAGTTGGTCTTTTTATTAAAACATACCAGTGATTCTAGGGTGATACCTTTGAGAACGATGCTGAAAGTAAGCAAGCAAATCAGATCCCAGGAGCCCATGGTCCTTCAGACCTTTGCCCACAGACCCGTTGCTAATAACGATCTAGAGTTAAGTAAGGGTTGCATGTAGGATCCAAGCAGCATTAGTACTATGACTCTGTATACTCATTAGTGATTATTCCTGTTTCAAGATCAACATCATAAAAACACTTTAAACCTGGGTGGTTTGAGGGGCAGGGGCAGGGGGGCAGGAGATAACGTTAAGATATGGTGGGGAAAGTTAAAAACAAGTCCTGAAGTGAAAAAATCTTTATCTTTTGAATTAAGGGGGCACTAAATTTAGATAGGTTCATGTTGCCACAAATTATCAGGGATGGAATTAACAGCGTATGATAATTATATAAACAACTCCTTGGCATTAGTTAGAGGGAGATACTAGTAAATCCTTTTTTGTCTGTTAGTAAGATAATGCATGTTTTTAACATAAAATAAAATTTAGAAAAATGTAAAGAAGAGTATAAAAATCACCATCAATGTCACAACTGAAATAACAACTGATTGTTATTTGTGAACTGATTGATATGATGTTCATAGTCTGAAATAGGCCAAGGTGGGAATATTTACACCACAGTAATAGGCACATTCTATAAATAAGCTGCCTCACTTCTACTCTGCCCTCAGCAATTAAACTTTCACAAGCAAAGCACTGAGCCCATATGACATATATATTCTTATTTCTACCCCACCCCCCAAATTTAGATAATGCTATAACACAGTTTTGAAACTGCAAGTATAAATCTCACCCAAAGAATATTCTGAGTTAACTTGGAAAATTAACAGGAACATCTCCCTTTCTTATATTGTATGTAGGGGGAGCAAGGACCTCAAGGCTTTCCAGGACCAAAGGGCATGACAGGCCATGGCTTCCCTGGCCAGAAGGTAAGTATTTCAGGACCTTAAAAAAATGCTTAGGCTTAGGATCTCAACTAACTTGAACTTTGGAAGAGCTCTCCTACTCTTGTTAGTCTTCTCCTTACAAAACTCTCAGAGGAAAAAATCCATTTGAAAGTGAATTCTTATGCATTTCCTTTCCTAACTATGAACATGCTTACTTTACAAAATCTCATTTTCTTCATTCTCAAAAGAAGGCTGATAAAGGAATAAATTCTTACAATATAACATGTAGAAGATACCAGATAGCTCAGGTGTAAAAGATATAATAGTTGGACTTCCTGAAGACAGTGAGCTGATCTGATGGTACCTCAGGTCTCTTCACTTTGAGATCTCTGGTTCATATAGAATTATATTATGGTACCTGGGGGGAGGGGGGATGCAAATAAAATGCCCCCAATTTTTATTTCTATCATACATTTGTAGCAACAAGAACTACAGATTTTCAAGAGATACCAGTTATAAATAAACAAAATTTCAGAGTTTTTCTTATTTGGCTTTATAATTCACATTCTAAACTTGTCTTTTCACTATATTTTAAAGGGAGAGCATGGAGAACGGGGTGATGTGGGGAAAAAAGGCAACAAAGGGGAAATTGGAGAGCCCGGATTGCCAGGAAGACAGGCAAGAAGTGATTTTTAAAGTCTTACTGTAACTTTATAAGTTAAATATGTAGTTTCAACCTGTACTGACTGTTACTCTTCTTCCACTAAGCAGGGGTTACAAGGACCAAAAGGAGACCAAGGACTTACAGTGAGTACCAATCTTAGAGGCTAATTGAGGGTTTGTGCTTGCAAAATTAGTACATTCAGGTTTTAGCTTTAGAAGTATGAATTCTTCTGATGCAGAGTTCCCGTTGCTCTTTAAATGATAGCACTGCTAACAGCCCCAGTGTTGACTTAGATGCATGAAGTAACTGAATCTGAATGTGAGGGAGAAGTGTCACCCGGCAACCCTTATCTGGCCTTGCGATGGAGACCTGTGACTGCTCCCCTCTGACCTTGGTAGAAATGGTCACAAGGAGGTGAGCTGTTTACAAGAAGCCAAATGGCCAAATGACTTTTTATTTTATATGATCCTTCGTATTTCAGAATGGGGGCTCTTTTCCCCTCAGCTAGTTTCTTTAGGAGGTGCTCTGAGAAGAACAACAATCACAGTATTTTTAGGTCCTGATTCACTAATTCAATTATTTGTGATGCATCTACAAACTGTTCCCCACTCATCTCCCTACACCACTGTAAACAAAAAGCCAACTCTTTAAAGTTCCACAGGGTGGTAAAGTCCCAGAATTTTTATAGCAAAGTCTAATTCTTCCTTTCTCACCTGAAGGCACCATGTCTTCCAGAGTGGAGAAGAAATAGGGACCTTCTCTTTTTGACTTTTTGGTGGAACATGGTCTGGGGATGCTGATCCTAGGTACTGTGCTAGAAAACTCCAGGTGTGAGGGGTATGGGAGTTCCCATAGTAAGGGTGAGAGATGAGAGCTGGGCATGTGACAAACAGAACAGCCCTCTTTTTTTATGGCTCATCTGCCTTTATCTCTTTGCTCTTCCCCACCACAACTCAACCCCTGCCCCACACCCAAGATGTTTATGGTGGATGAAGTGACTTCATATGCAGCAATCCCTCCCCAGAAGCAGCAGCAGAGAGTGTGTGGAAAGTGCCTAGAGGAATGGTCCCCATAGGTTTATACCTCCCTCCTATTCCAACAAGAGGGAAACTAGTTTCCTGCATCCATTCATTTCTTTATTCACTTCACCAACATGTATTGGGCATGTGCTCCAGATCGGGCTCTGAGAGAGACACTGGGAGGGTAATAGAGAATAAAAGAGCATGTCCTCTGGACCCAAGGAGCTCGCAGCCCAATAGAGAGAAAGACAAACAAAGGATGTTCACCTAAAGTTTAGTAAATGCTGTGCTAGAAGTAGATATGTGGGTCTGGAGCAGACAAAATGATCTATGATGATGTTTGGGGGCAAGATAGGTTTTTATCTCTTAAACAGAAGGTTTTTAACCAAGAGGCAGAGTTCTTAGAAATGGGAATGATTCTTCTGACTTTGGCTTTCTAGATTCTAGAAAAATGGACTAGCAAAAAGGGAAGAGTGAAAAAAAAGAGAGAGAATTTGTATTCAATGAGAATCTAGAATGTGTTCGGGACCAAGTTAGGCTCCTTCACATCAGTAGCACCTTCCCTAGGACTGTAGGTTTCCCGGAGCCCATGCTTTAGAGGCCCAACTCTGGGCCTCTCTAGCTGCATCCCTTCCGCTGGGGAGGAGTCCTCACGGCTCGGGGAGCTACCACCCTGAGCACATGCCCCCTCTCTGCCATACTCTGGATATGCAGGATCCTAGAATTGCTTGCCCAAACGGCCCCTTTGGAGAGTTGACAGCACTGGTCTGTATGCATGGGCCCACCCAAGAGGGGATTTGAACAGAGCTTGGAAGTGAGGACTGTGTTCACCCCATGAATGCCAGCCATGGCCCCGTGCAGTGTAGGAATGGTATGGATGGGGTCCAGTGAGAAGGGGTCATACTGTGGGCCACAGCCCTCTCTTGCCCAAGACCCCACACTAATCCACAAGACAGCTTTTTGGGCTCCCAACCTGTTATTCCAATCTTCCTTGTCTCAGACAGTGTGCCATCTTCATATGCGTCCTCCTAGACTCTTTCCTCCTCCTCACCTTTTCTTCCCATTACTTTCCCAGCCCTTCATGCTCCCTCTGAAATGCTCCTCCAGGCCACTCCTTCCTATCCATCACTACCGCCGCTGCTTTCTGGAGTCATTGTCTTTGTCTGAACTATTTAGGAACCTCAAACCTCTCTATTGGCTGCCATGATCTTCTTTCTTAAATAAAAATGTGATCACACCTCTTCTCTGCTTAAGGCCAGGTATCACTTCATTGGCCAGGATACAGTCCACACTCTGCAACATGACACAAAGACCTTTTAGAGTTCATCTGTCTCCCACATCTCTTATCATTCTCTGCCACACACCCTGAGTCATAGGTTTACTCAAGGACTGTAATTCACTGTGCTTTGTGTGTTTGTACCCTGCCTGGAACATTCCTCTTCCCCTCCATCCCACCCCAACCTGGTCAAAGTCTACCTCCCTGGACCACAACCCTACTGCTACTCTCCCACCCATGGAACTCCCCGCAGACCAACATGGTTCCTTGTCTTCAACCTAGCAGCATAGCACTTACAAAAGTATTTGTTTGTCTACTTCGTACTAAACTGAATCTTTTGAGGGGTATAAATTTGATGACTTTATCGTTGGCAACAAATAACCAAAGTAGTTATTCATCAGTTTTAGTGGAAAGACTGAAACTATTCCAATCACTGAAAAGCAAAGAGTGCGAGAAAAAAAAACCTGATATACATATATGATTACTTAAAGCATTTTAGACCTGGTTATCCCATAAAAGCACATTGAAAAGAATTAAAATGCAACTTTGATATATAAGTTATTCTTACCAGTAAATAAAAGACAAATGTTGTAACAGAAAAAATGGACAAAGAACATACAAAGATTGTGCACAAGAGAATACAACTTGAAAACATGCATGTAAAATAAAATTAATAATTGAATAAACATAATTTAAAACAATGAGATATTTTGCTCTATCAAATGCCAAAGACTATAAAATAATAATAACCAGTATTGTGTGTCTAAAATCAACAGGTTTTCTTATATACTCTGTTAGAGGTGTCATTACTACAGTTTTTCTGCAGGGCAGTTCGGCAGTATGCATCAAGAACCTTAAAATGGCCATGCATTTGACATCAGTAATCAAGATTTTCAGAATACAAAGTAATACGGGAAATTAACTATGATATGATGTTAAATGGAAAACTATAATTGTAAACCTTGGTACACAGTATTCACTTATAAAAACTAAACATAAATATGTAAATATATACATTTCCCCTTTCTAGACCATTCTAGTTTCAGGTTTCTTAAATGCCTCAGTAAATGTGCAAAAGCATGACAAGGCCTGAAAAATATATATAACTGTTGATGCCCTCATTTTATATAATTTTATTAATATCATATTGGGAGTTCTTTTTAAATAGCCACTTGGAATTATTGGCTTCTACTTAATTTGTAGCAAAAAAATTAAAATTAAAATACCCTGAATATTCCCCATACATGCTTCTGTTAAGTCATGTTCACTAGTGATGTCACCTTCGCCCCAATTCTGTCGTTATAGGTTTTTTCTTTAAAACTTTACTTTTGCAACTGTTAAATTTTATCTTCTTAGATTAGGTCTACTGTTCCTGTTGAGATTTTCTGGGATCCTGTTTCTTTCATTTGTGAGCTAATCATCCCTGGCAGTTTCCTGTCTTTGGCAAATGTGGAGTCCTGCCTTCCCTAGTCTCATCCCAGTTATTTGTAAGCATGCTACCCAGAGTGGGGCATCGGCAGATGTACTCCTAGTACCCAGCTCCTGCCTGGCCCTTCTGGGGGAGCTGATGGGCAGCAGGACCGGAAGGCGCATTCAGAACATTGGGACAGTTCATGAAAGAGCCAAAGAAATATTAGGAAACTGGAGAGGGGACTTGCATAATTGGGGAATGGTACAGAAAAAGGGGAGGAGATACAGCATAGAATATATTTTCTTTTGGTCCTGGTGCTTGTCTTGGTTGCCCAGCCCCTGGTGGGTTAAGTCATATAACTGAATAAATGCATGGCTCACACCATCGTAGGTAGTACCAGTGGTCCCCCTTATCCACAAGGAATATGTTCCAAGAGCCCTAGAGAATGCCCGAAACCAAAGATAGTAGCCTACATATATACTATGTTTTTTCCTTTACATACATACCTATGATATAGTTTAATTGATAAATTAGGTGTAGTAAGAGATAAACAATAAAACTAATAATAAAATATAGAAACTGTAATAATATACTGTAATAAAAGTTATGTGAATGTGGTGTCTCTCAAAATATCTTATTTCACAGATAGAAGATTCATTCTTACTGTAGATTTTAGCAACCTCAACATAGGATTTTTTTTTTTTCCTTATTAAGTCGAGAACTTTTACCTTTTCACTTAAAGGAAGCAATTTATGGCTTCTCTTTGGCATGTCCCAATTTGCGGCATTACTACTCTCGTGCTTTGGGGCCATTAGTAAGTAAAATAAGGGTGACTTGAAGACAAGCACTGCAATACTATGAGCACTGCAGTCGATCTGACAACCGAGATGGCTACTAAGTGACTCTGTTGGGGGGGAGGGGGGACAGCGCACAATTTAAAACTTATGACTTGTTTAATTCTGGAATTTTCCATTTAATATTTTCAAACTGCATTTGACTGCAGGTAACTGAAACCATGGAAGGTGAAACTGCAGATAGGGGGCAGGGAGCACCTTGTGGGGCCAGATCCTGAGCTAAGAGCTTTGTGTGTGTTACCTTGTTTAATCTGTCCACAGGCCTAAGTGGATCGAGACGCTGTTAAGTCACCTAATGCCCAAGGTCATACAGCTGATAAATGCTGGAGCCACAATTTGAACTCCAAGTCTGAGCTATTCCATTTCACAACTCAAACACATTTCAGTTATGATGTATTACAGCCAACTTTTAACCTCTGTGCTACTTATTTTATTTTCTGCAGTGGAAGCATTAAATCAAATGACCCAATGCTGACTGTAACAAGACATATCTTTTATGACTATAGGATTAAGGTCATACTATTAATACATAATATTCCCTTTTTTCTCCAGAAAGAAGAAATTATCAAACTTATTTTTGAAATATGTGGTAAGATTTGACTATGAAGAAAAAAAACTTTACTGTACCAACCCCTCTCTGTTCTGTGTTGGTCAAGATAATGTGTTTACCCAGAAGATGTATATTACATAGCTCAAGAGAAACTTTGAAGCTCATTTGAAAAGTCAGTGGGAAACTAAAAGGAAGCGGTGAGAGGGGCTGTGGGAATCCTGACTTAAGAAAAGAAAATCTCTCTGGGTGGTTGAGAAGCATGAAGATACCTGCCTAGAGTCTGTGGGCAGCCAGGCCTTCTGTAAGCACAGTGTTATTTATATTCAGTGACATTTACCTGAGCTTTGGAAGAAAAAAGCAACAAAGGAAATGTGACCACAGGGGCCTAACTTGTATTTGAGTCCAGCCTGGCTGGTGACTATCATGTCTGAGTTTTGGTTTTTCCTGAAGCCAGAAGTCTTTCTGAATTGAGTTTTGAGCTCTATTTCTAAAGTGCATTCCACCCAAAAGGGAGGAAGACAGAGCCAGAGGGTCCTCTTGCTTCACAACTATCTAAGTGCTTCTACATATTTGACTAAATGGGTAGATTTAAGATAAAGTTACCAGAAGGAGGAAGTAAAGAGTTTAGCCAAAAGGCAAGAGATTCATGGACTAATAAAGATAAGAAACTTCAGTGTTTAAACAGGACAGAGGCAGGAATATCATTGTTGATATTCCCAGAACTGGCTTGTCACCCAAAGAGTTCTGGCCTTTAAGAACCAACCTGGGACTCTGTATGGTGATAGGCCAATTTAGACGTGACTTCTGAAGCCCTGTAAAAATAGCACCAAGTTTCCTTAAGACTTTTTGTGGTAAGGTTATTGGGCGACAGGAGGGTGGATAAACCAATGGATAGTTCTTATTGCCTGGGGATCTGGCAACTGCTTTGAATGACAAGCCCTGAATAGAAGTTGGTTATTGACCAGTATTCTCATTACCCTCAAGAGGTTTCATAGTATGGCATGAATGGACAGCTGGCCTCACTGATAAGATGGGAGCCACCTTAGTTGACATGGTGGGTGACTGAGGACATAAAATAGAGTAGCTATTCTTTATTCTTTTACAGTTCAAAGCTCTAATCCTTCCCCTGCAATTAAAATTTTTCATCACATTACTTTAGCCATTGGCCACACCAGTGAGCAGATCTCTCTTTTCCTATAGGGATATGGTTGAAGACTGAAATATTAGCTTTCAGATTCAGATTCAATACAAATGGTGGAATGACAAATTTAGGATAGGGGTTCTCTCTTAGGGAAAGGGAGGGGAATGTAATCAGGAAGGTAGACACAGGGGATACTGACAACTTAAAACGTTTTAGTTTTTAATCTGAGAAATCGGCACATAGTGCTTATTATTTGTCATCTATAGTGTAGTTTTTTTCATAAATTAGATTTTTAAAAGAGAGAGGTATAGAAAGCAGAAGGGAGACAGCTATCAGTTGTATTCACAGTCACAGAAAAGGAAGGTAATAATCCAGGCCTAAGGTTCATTCCTGCCCATCTCTTCCCACCCCTACCAATCTGCTATTAATCAGTAACATTTTAAGTTTCATTACTGCAATGTCTCTGTCTCAACATTCATCCTTTAGGTTGTGGACCCAAATGCAAAGAGACTCCACTAGAGCTGCTGTTCGTGATCGACAGCTCAGAAAGTGTGGGGCCCCAAAACTTTCAGATCATCAAAAATTTTGTGAAGACTCTGACTGACCAGGTTGCTCTGGATGTTGCCACAACCCGCATAGGGATCATCAACTACAGCCATAAGGTGGAGGAGGTGGCTCTTCTGACGAAGTTCTCCAGCAAGGATGACTTCAAGCTGGCTGTGGACAGCATGCAGTACCTGGGGGAAGGCACCTACACGGCCACAGCTCTCCATGCAGCCAACCACATGTTTGAAGCTGCAAGGCCAGGCGTAAAGAAAGTGGCCTTGGTCATCACAGATGGGCAGACGGATACTCGAGATAAAAAGAATCTGACAGAGGTGGTGAAGGACTCCAGGGAAGCCAATGTGGAAATATTCGTGATTGGGGTGGTGAAGAAAAATGACCCCAACTTCAAAATGTTCTACAAAGAAATAAATCTAATTGCTACCGATAGTGGGCACGTTTATCAATTTGATGACTTCATTACCCTGCAAGGTAAGACTCAGCTCCAGGGAAAGGCACTTACATTGTTCTTGCAAGTACCATGTCCCTGAGCAAAATGGAAATCAGCAGGCTAACAAGGCTTATGCAAACATTAAATTGTAACACATAACCTCCAGAAGGAAGAAACATTTTGTATCATCCATGTAGAGTATAATCCCCTGTCTTTATTCATTCATACCAAGTGCTGAGTTGGTCTTGGAGTAACCTGGGATATCTGTGGTCGAAGGACATGGATGGAAAGAAAGACTAGAACTTGGGGATATTGTGAAGATTAATGTTCAGAAAGTTACTTAACCTGAATAAGAGATGGAGCGAGCCAACAGCAAGGCAGAAAGTAACCTTAGACTCCAAATGAATTAAGAAGGGCATGATGAATGAAAACAAATCATGGTAGTCTGAAGAGATGACGGATGCAAGTAACTGGGATTGTCCTATTCTTTCCTCTGTTCTTATGAAAACATATAATGAACAAACGAGTCGATGTGAGGAGTTCATCTCGCAGAGCACCATTCTGAACATCCATCACACAGTCAATGCTCAGGAGCTGGGTTTCTCTGGGCTCCGTCACCCTTTCACGTGAGCCGAGGTCTCTTCATGAGGCACGAGGCAATCTAAGACACCGTCTCCCCTGTGCTTGAAGGGTGGCCAGTATTGCTTTCCAGTGTGACATGTTCCAACTCTTTGGAAACTGACCATTCATTCTGGCAGGGCACACACCTCGCGAGCTTGTGAAAGAAGTAAAATTGAAGCTTAACGCGTTTGTAGGCTTCCATTTGGCACCATTCTCCCTTCTCCGCCCCCTAGGAGTGGGGCCTGGCTCGGCCTGGCACAGACCCCCCTTGCCTCACGCTGCTCCCCACCCACTCAGGGTACCAGCAAGGCCTGCCCCAGTGACAGCACATCATGCTCAGCACCCCCCGCATCCTGGTTTCCCTTTTCTTCAGACCTTTCTAAGCTGGGGTCCCATCCCCCTACCACCCGGCTGGTGACTGACGGGTTTGTCTGATATACTCAATCTCACTGGGCTGTGAAGGTGTTAGAAAGACCAGAGTATTACGCATTTCAGAGACAAGTTATATTTTAATGATTGAGGGGCTTTATCATCTAAACCAAAGGAGTTAGTAATTTGTTCCAGCCAGCGAGGGATATATCTGGGGGCTGGCTGGCCTTTTGCTATCCCTAAAACCGCTCATTCAGCTTTCTAAGGGTGAGAGCTGCCCCTTCCACAGAGTGGTTCACAGTTAACTGATGCTTTAGATAAGCAAGCACTTAAGTCATTCTTTAGTTTATTTTTATTTTTTTATCCTTACCTGAGGGTATTTTTCCAATTGCTTTTCAGAGAGAGTAGAAGGGAGAGAGAGAAACATCTCGATGTGAGAGAGAGAGAGACACACATCCCACATGCACCCCAACCGAGGCCGGGGGTGGAGCCTGCAACTGAGATACCTGCCATTGGCCGGATTCGAACCCAGGACCGTTCAGTCCACGGGCTGACTCTCTAACCACTGAGCCAAACTGGCAAGGGCTAAGTCACTATTTTAGATGTCCTTTTACAGGTGATGTAAAAATGCTTTAAAACATAGTTCACCTTGTAGTTGACTTCAAGTGATGGGAAAGTTTATTTTAAGGAGAGTGCAGCTCTCTTTAAACAAGTTTTGAGTAATATTTTGTTGCTCCTACAATGTCTCTTTTTCTGCTTCTCTTTTAAAAGATACCCTGAAGCAAAGACTATTTAAAAAGCATTGTGAAGATTTTGATTCCTACCTCACTCAAGTTTTGGGTTCATTGCCGCTCCAACCTGAATTTGGGATGTCAGGGGAAGAACTCAGCGTTTCCACTCCAGAGCCTCAGAAAGAAATGTCTGAGTCAGTAAGTAACTGTCTTGCTTAATTTGTGAGCTTAACATTGTGTTTTCTGTCTGTTTGACATCAAAGAACATCTTGCTTTGCAATGCCAGGAATCAGCTGAGGTATGTGTATTTTCAGGTCCTTGGCTCTAAATATTAGCACTTTGTCTCCAGATTTCTAGTTCAGCTCTGGGGCTTTGTGAGCATGAATATGAGATTTAAAAATATTTCTCTATTTTATAAGACATTCTTTATTAAATGTTGCAAGTAATATTTTATATTAGACTCCTTCTTCCACCAAAGTAATTCTATCCACTAGAACAGATTAGCACTATACTATTTGAATCACCCATTTGCCATGCTAGGTAGATCCTTTCATACCAGGTCACAATACTTTCTCATCTGTCTGTATATTCACTGCCCATTTTGCACCCTCTGAAATTTCTTCAAAAGTGTGCAGTATTCAACCTGCCACTATGCCTGAAGCCAAGCCACACTTTTACTGATTTAGCTTCCACCTCCTGTGCTCAGAGTAGGGGTTGGGAGGGAGGCTATGCCTGCATGTGGTGCAAGGTGGATGTTCTCTTTGAGAGCAACTGAAAGAACTACCTCCTAAATGTACTGAGACAAATGACGCTATCCTCAAAGCCAGCTTCTGGGCACTGACCTCAGCCCATCAGGTTATGAGCAATTATTAGGTAAAAAATGGAGAGCTTCCTGTAATTACTGGTCAACGGGTATTGTAGTCTCTTCCCCACCAAGTTACATAAAGCAGGTCTAGACTCATCTGCATTACACATACGGACATCCTCTAGCAAGCAGGCACATAGCTGTCCTGACCCTGTTCTGTAAGCTCAATGAAGTCCCTGACCCGCCCTGTTATGACGGCTTCATGAACATGAAAGATTCATGATGAGCCAGTGCAACAATATTCTAGCATCAGGATTCAGCTGTCTACTTGGACTAAGGCCTTGAGAAATCTCCAGATCAGTACGTGGATCCTAGGAAGGGCCTAGGAAGCTTTCTTAATGGGATAGACTCTAGGACTCACTAGATTCTTATACTCTGCTCAAAAAAAGGGTAGAAAGGCCTCTCATATATTTCTATTTGATTAAATACTAACTGCCTCTGAGATGGGTAGTTTCAGTTAGGGCAACAGGCTGCCCCTGGATTGTTGATTGAAATTAACACACATTTTTACCACATGGTTTATATCAGGGATCAGCAAACTCTTTCTGTAAAAGGCAATACAGTGAATCTTCTTGGTTTTGCAGGCCATTTGATCTCTGTTGCAATTACTCACCTCTGTCTTTGAGGTGCAAAAGCACCCTAGCCATTACTTAATGAACTAACAGGGCTGTGTTCAAATAAAACTTATTTCCAAAACAGACAAAGGCTAGGATTTGGCCCCTGGGGTTTTGCTGACCTGGTCTTTACGGGCATTTTAAAGTGAATTGCAGACATTAATGTGCACAGTCTATGACTTTGTTCTTCCCTCGTCAATCCATGTCTCTTTCTAAAGACTTCCTAAGCAAGAGCCCGCTTGGGTTGCATCCAGCAAGTGGTGCTTAAACCGAGCTCACCTAATTAAAAGGAATATAAATCGATCATCTACTGCTCTAGTAGGTGGCAACTCTTAAGACACAGTTCCTGGCCCTGACTAGGTGGTTCAGTTGGTTGGAGCACTGTCCCCTACACCAAAAGGTGGCAGGTTCGATTCCTGGTCAGGCCACATACCCAGGTTGTGGGTTAGATCTCTGGTCAGGACATGTGCGGGAGGCAGCTGACTGATGTTTCTCTCTCACATTGATGTTTCTCTCTTTCTCTCTCTGAAAAAAAAAAAGAAAAAAGACACAGTTCCTGCCCAACAGAAGTCCAGGGTATAGGAAATATTAAGAACTTTAGCAGAGCTGTGGATGAACCACAAGAGATGATACAATTAACTTCAGGGCAAAGTAATGGAAGGCCTTACAGAGGAGGTGGCACTGAGCTGAATTTTAAGAATAAGCAGGAGTTTTTCAAAGCAGAAGGGTACTTCTGGCAGAAAGAACACATAGGTGAAGGAAGATTCCAAAGGGCAGGGCATTTCAATAAATTAGTTAAGTCCAACAGGAACCTAAGTGTGGTTGGCAGAATGGTGGGAGTTAAATCTGGATAAATAATTTGAGGACCAATTATAAATGGCCTCATCTGTCAAATGAAGGAGCTTAAATTGTATTCATAGGCCAAGCAGCCAGGAGAGAGCAGAGAAGTTTTTAAAGCAAGAGTCATGAGGTCATATTCAGTTCACAGGAGGAATAACCCTGGTTTCAGTGTGACAGATAAATAGAAGGAGCTGGAGAGGAGACTAGAGACAGATATGAAGAGTAATAGTCCAGGTGAGAGAGAATGAGAGCAGTGGGAATGAAAGGAGGCATGGATTGGAAAACCATTTCTGGGGCAGAATGAGCAGGATTTAGCGATGGTATAGATCGGAGGTTAGGCAGAGGGAGACGTTTGGTGATAGCTGGATTTCTAGCTTGGAGATGGGGTGAAATGAAACATCATCTACTGAGATGGAGAATATAGGAGGCAGGATGGGGTTTTTTGAAGGAAAATAATGAGCTTAGTTTGCACTGGATAAAGTAGAGGTGCCTGAGGGAAATCCAAGGCAGTTATGACACAGAATGAAGCACAGCAAGACCCTATGCCTCATACCATGACCCAGGAAGGCTGATGGCCCTGAGACACAAGTGATGTTAGTGGATTATGACAGTTTAATCATTCTAGTAACTGGGAAGGGAAGGGCATAAGAAGAGTACATCCAAAATAATTTGGATTTATAACACCTACAGCTGCACAGAAGGAAACTCAGCATCAGCTAGGCCTCTCTAGGGTGCCTGTGACTGAGATAATGGGAGCTCACATTGAACCTGGGCTTCTTGGATAGCCCCGTTTTTCTCTAGACTTTCACCCTGGCTCTCTTCGCAAAAGCACCAAGGCAAGACTGAACAATGAATGTTCCTCAGATATATAGCCTAACAAACATATATGCATTTATCTCTGTCATATGTACATATAATACATACACACATTAATACAAAAACGTATTTATACATCTGTGCATGCACACCCACCTTTATCTAAAAGTGTCATCACTGTAGCCAAACATCCGAAGTAAAGAGGATCTGTCAAAACCTTTTGATTCTCAGATTGTTCCGAAGCCTACCCTAGGCAACACGGCAAAGCACATGATCTCAGAAGCCCCTTCTTGTGTCTCTATTTCCTTTCTCTGCTGTCCCTTCTATCCACTCCTTTAGACACCTATCTCTGTCCTTCCTTCTCCTCTTTTTTCTATCAAGATCCGTTCTTAAGGAGAATTTTGATATTGGTTATTTACACTTTAGTGCAAAATCTAAGTCAATAGGTTTCCACCTCCAAGAAGGACTTATACTTTAAGCATTTTTTTTGTAATTGTGGGATGAATTTGCTATACACTAAACATCTGGGTACAGGTGTGTTGGGAAATAGAGAAAGCAGGAGGATTTCCCAGGTTCTACCAAATTCATAGCACTTCAGCAACACCCTGCTCTGTTGTTCTTTCTGGTCAGTCCCAGGAACTGAAACATGTACATCCATTCTACTCTGTCTCTCTCCTGAAATCTTGATAATTTATACTTCTTCTGTAATTTATCATATTGTGTTTTTTAAAATATATTTTATTTATTACAAAGAGAGGAAGGGAGAGGAAGAGAGAAATAGAAACATCAATGATGAGAGAGAGTCACCGATCAACTGCCTCCTGTACACCCTCTGCTGAGGATTGAGCCCACAACCCCAGGCACGTGCCCTGACCAGGAATTGAACCGTGATCTCCTGGTTCACAGGTCGATGCTCAACTGCTGAGCCATGCTGGCCGGGCACATTTTACATTGTTAATAATTACTTATATATGCACCTCGACTCTCCTAATGGATTTAAAACCCTTGAGGACATGATCTGTGTCTAATTAAACTTTGTGTCCCACTCACAACCTAAAACTGTGCCCCATTTTGCAAATAGCAGATGCTCAATAAATACCACTGACCAAATAAACGCTATACCAACTGTTCTACTAAAAAATAAATCTAAAGATTTTCTTCAATGAAAGGCATAAATTATACTGTTATATAAAAGACTGTTGACCGGCCGGGCATGGCTCAGTGGTTGAGCATGGACCTAGGATCCAGGCGGTTGGGGTTTGATTCCCGGTCAGGGCACATGCCTGGGTTGTGGACTTGATCCCCAGTCAGGGACATGCAGGAGGCAGCTGATCAATGACTCTCTTATCATGATGTTTCTATCTCTCTCTCTCCTTCTCCTTTCCTCTATCTGAAATCAATAAAGATATATTAAATAAATAAATAAATAAAAGACTATACATCAAAAAATCCTTATTTTTTTAAGGGACTAATAATATTGGTCCTTCATGTTCCTTTATTATCTCTGGGTTTGGCCAGTTAGGTTAAGATTTCCAGGACATAAATGGGAGTGGGGTAATAAAATCAGGTAAACATCATTTAATCATACCAACTGGTTATAACCAATAATGGTCTGTTAAGCAAATAAGCACTGGATGAAGTCCTCAGCAACCTTAAATGCAAATAAAGAGCATTTGATTTAAATACTACTTGAGCACTGAGAGTCCTGGCAAAAAAAGTTATCACCTGAGAAGAGGCAATCAAGGTCAGGAGCCTGAGAAGCCAGGCACCTTGAAGGCACTGGCTGCTGAGCCAGCTGGCAAGAGCACAATCCCCACAACTGGGAGAAACTTGGACCCACACTGCTGGGAAAAGCTCAGACTGAACACATGGGCTAATGCAGATGGATCATTTGCATTCATCCAGAGAAGACATGAGCTCAGATTCTAAGAGCTTGTCTGTAATAAATGCACAATTCTGTGTCATGAATTACGAAGAAAATGTTAGGAAGTCAGAAACCAGATGGCCTTTTGGAATTGTTAGTAATCCTCCTTTCGGTCATACATTCATGTTCCTAGGATGCTGCTCAAAATCTGTTTTCCTTTCCTTAAAGATCTGCCCTAAGATCGAAAGGGACTGGCGATAACACATCCGCCCGTGCAGCTCCCTGGAGCAGCCCTGGACTCCAGGTGCTGGCCCTTCACGTGCCCCTACCCCCCTCTTCTGTGTCTTTTTACTGTGCTGAGCCCCTGCTTGGAGCTGGGACCGTTTGTCTCCTTGAAGGCAAGCCAGTGTGGTGGGAGTAGAAATGTGTGGAGCTGCTGGCAGGCCTTTGTGTTTAAGATTTATAAAAAGAACAGAGAGTACATATAACAAACATCTGAGTCCCCACCACCCAGACAGAACCGTTGTTTCCACTTGTTCACTCACTTTTGCTTCAAATAAAGTCCTTGTTGTTTTCTTTAGGGGTCTCTTTCTCTCTCCTTTCTCCAGAGGGAACCACCACCATGAATTTGGTGTGTATTTTACCAGTAAAATTTGGGGCTGCTTAAATCCCACCTATAGAGCTGGAAGTCATGTTAGGGTCTAAGCTTTTCTTATTTTAAAATGATTATATTAAAGCCTAGAGGAATTAAATAATTAGTCCAAAATAAGCTCCCCCCCTTTCTCTTTCCCTCTGCCTCTCTCTTTTTCTCTCTCCCTCCTCTCCCATTCTGAATTTATTCTCTTGTCACTATTTGCTGATCTATGCTATAAAGACTTTTAAAAAGAAGAAAAGCAAGGAAGGAAAAAAGAAATAAAAGCATGGCATGGTTTGAGTTCTCTTATCAGGAAAGTGGTATTTACACATATGAAAGAAGAAATGACGCAAGACAGCACAGGATTAAAGGTTAACTTGCGTATGACCAGGGCCAGGCGTAGAAACATTAGAAGGTCCTACGCACCATCTGGAAGGGGCAGGTTGGGACCGGCTGGGTTACTGGGAAGGTTCCGCAGATGGGGCCCGTGGCGAGAGGGTTCATGTTGAGCCCGATGCAGAAAGAAGAGGAAGGGATGGGAAAGGTCACAGCAAGATGTGCTGGGAGCAGTGGGAGGCGAGCTCACATGGTTACGACAGTGTGGAGGAGACAGGCCGTGGCAGGGCCAGGTACCAGTTGAAGAATTTTTTACCTATCAAATTGGTAATTGTCTCTTTTTTCAACCATAATATCTAGTAAATTGTGATAATTTAGAAAGGACACTCAGTAGTGAGGGTGCAAGTTGGTAAAATTTTTTGAAGAGGACTTTGTCTCAGAAGCTCAAGTATGTGTGTTCTTTCACCAGCAATCAGCCATGTGGTTTCTAATAGAAAAAGAGCAAATTAAATGTTTATAAAAGGCCAGTGTAGTTATGTATATTTTATATTTAAAACGGTGTATAGAGTCACAGTAAAATATATGGAACCATATATGGAACCAGGGTATTTTATTTATTTAATTATTATTTTAAAAAATATATCTTTATTGATTTCAGAGAGAGGAAGGGAGGGGGAGAGAGAGTTGAAACATCAATGATGAGAGAGTCATTGGTCGGCTGCCTCCTGCACGCCCCCATTCTGGGGATCGAGCCCGCAACCCGGGCATGTGCCCTGACCGGGAATCGAACCGCGATCTCCTATCCTAGGTCAATGCTCAGCCGCTGAGCCACGCCTGGCTGCGCTACAGTAAATTTTTTTTATTAAAAAAATATATGCACACAGGAAAATGACTGAGGAAAAATACACCTGAGTGTCAACAACAATTACTTTTGGGAGGTGGAATCAATCACTTGTGATTTCTCTTCCCTTCCTGTTGCTTCTTCAGATTTTCTAAAATCCCTTCCATGAACATGTTTGCTTTTGTAATAAGGAAAATCTAAAAATGGCAAACCATAACAATCATGTACTTGTTTAAATAACCTGAATCTTGGGGAGCCAAAAAATCAAATTATTTTCATTTATGAAAACATAAATTTATTTCACGGGTTCTAAGAACTTCAGGTGTAATGTTCTTGTGGTCAAAATTCCGAAATGATGAGGTGACTGAGAAAGAGAGCACACACTCCTGTAAGTAGCAGGGGTAAAGATAACCCAGGAGGCCTTAAGGCTGGACTACAGTAATGACGTAAAGGCTGAGTTAATCCCTTTAAGAAAACCACGCTGCCCAGTGTGCTTCGAAGGAACAGTAGAGCCTGGCTGATAGCGTCTGAAGTGTAGCCTAATGTCCAGTGACTTTTTTATGTTTGATAAACTGCTCCTCAGGCATCCTTCTCCTTTAACTTATTTGTTTTTTGCTGAAAATAAAATGTGTGCAAATAAAAACCCCAACAACCCAACAGTATTTCTTCCCTAAAACAGGCAGTTCTCAGATTTTGCCACTAGCTTACCAATAATTTTGGGGAAGTTCCTTAATCATTTGGAGTTTTAGATTCCCTCCTAGAAAATAAAGTACTGAGAAAATTTTCCTCTACCTTCAAAATTCTCTAGTTCTGATGGCTCAGCAGTTGAGCATCACAGCTCAGTTCCCAGTCAGGGCACATGCCTGGGTTGGGGGCTCGATCTCCAGTGGGGAGCATGGAGGAGGCAGCCAATCAATGACTCTCTCATCATTGATGTTTCTATCTCTCTCTCTCCCTCTCTGAAATCAATAAAGACATATATATATTTTTTTAAAAAATTCTCTAGTTCTATGATGATAACAAAAGCTCTCATTCAAATTGTCATAAGTACACACAAGATCATTCTGAAAGAAATAGGAATGCCAAGTGAACCACAGTTTTACCTCCATTTGTACCAAAGGTTGTGTTTGGGGGCTAGTGAAAACCCACTACTGTATTTGACTTGAATGCCCATTACACAGGGCTGATGACCAGATCAGTCCCAGTGGAAATATTTGCTCTGATTTATCTGGTAGTACTGGAATCATTGTAAATATATGTATACACCAGTAATAGAATTGATTAGCGTTTCCCCCACTGTGTGTGTGTGTGTGTGTGTGTGTGTACACATACACTCACACAAAGTGATAGGAAAGTCCATAATTTAGGTATCCAGAGATATGTGATATAGAAGAGGGGCATCATTTCCTGAGCTTTTATTGAAATAATTAATATTAGAGAGTTGCGGAGAAGCAGCATGCTGAACTTTTCCTTAAATGCTCCCAAAAGCAAACTTGCTTTTTTTGACTTGATATCACTAGGAACAAAAGTGTGAACTTTTTGTGTAGGTCAGTACTCCCGGAGCCCAGGACAGAGAGAATGAGCCTCCAGAGCCTACTTGGGCTGACAGCCTACCCACCACTCCTTCATCCGAGGCTGCCACCATCCAGGGGCCATTGCTCAGCCCCTCTGAGGATAGGACAGTGGGTCTGGGAACCAGAACTCCAAGTCCCAGTTTGAACTTACAGTGGGGAAAGTTGGTGCACAAAGGTAAGAGATATCTGCCAATCAGCCTCTGCATCTGCAATGTGAAGAAAGCACAGAGAAGGTGGTCTCTAAAACCTCTAGAGGGAACGTATTTTGTTTGTAAACAGGAGGGACAGAAGATAATTTTCATTTTATTATATGAAGGATTAGAAAACTGGCTATCTGTAGAACAAATCTGGTCAAAAAATTTTAAAGCTCTTTAGTGTTTATTATTTTTAATTTGAATGCCTTTACACAGGGCTGCGCTCTCATGTTTGCCACGGTCCCTACCAGTCCCTATTATCTTACATGTGGCCTTCACACATATAGACATTTGAGTTTTGAATCTTAGATTGTAGAAGACAAAGAAAAAAGCTAGAATCTAGATTCATCAATGTATTTTCTACAGAATTAACATCTATAGAAATGAATCATTAGATACATAGTTCCTGAAGAACATGCCAGAGAGATAATATCCTTGCTTTAAGAAGCAAAGATTGGCTGGAAATCAAGTTACACGACATTATTTATTGTTTTTAAGAGCAAAGGTAGTGAAAATCCACTGATCCTTTCCAATTGGTTTAAGGAGTTTTCATTTAGTTTTAGAAAGTAAATTACTTGAGACATATTCCAAACCTAGGGAAATGATTATGGGAGATGGGGAGAGGGCTGGTTTTGATGTTGATAAATGAAGCCTATGACATGTAAACCATCTCACAGAACCCAGGAAACAGACAGCAAGTACTTCTTTGGTCTTTTTTGGCCTTGGAATCACTTCCTTAGGTAGGAAATATGATTCATGACACTAAGGAGTACCATGAAATAAAAAGGGATCTAACAAAGGATTTACTGTTATAGCGTTTCTTTGCTTTTTTTCACAGTGGACATGTTTCTGAAATTTATTTGTAAACTGACATAGAAGGTCATGTTTTATTATACTGCAATAGCTCCTCTTTAGAGAAGAAACTTGTGGCATAAGGAGAGCCCTTTGTTTTACTTATTTTTTGTAACTTAAAGAAATCTTCCTTTTTTAGGAGCACAATGACTTGATTGCCGTGGTGTTTTCTGTGAACAAACTGGAAGGCAATGTGGATAGAAAGCCAAAATCATCTTCAGTCCAAATATTAACTTGATTTTAAATCAATTCCAAAGTAAATTAGAAGTTCTATTTTTCTCCTGTCAACTAATCCCCACAAGAATATTAGCCAAAGAAGGCTCACAGTGTTATGCTTTAAGGGAAATATGAATTTTTAATGGAGTTTCATGAGGATTAAAAAAATTTCTGTTTTCAAAGGAATGAATATCTAAGGGTGGAGTTTGGGGTGATGGAGGATGTGTTTTGGGTATCAGGGAACCCTTATTTAACTTAGAACAATGTTTTCTTAATTGGTATGTTAATGTGCATGGAGGATAATTTATGAAGCTTTTCTTTTTCATCTTTTCACTGAAAGAAAAACCTATAATAACACGGTGTCCTTTTCTCAACCTAGACCCTAGGTGTTTGGAAGACCTAAAGCCTGGAAACTGTGGCGAATATGTGGTTCGATGGTATTACGACCAACAGGTCAACTCTTGTGCCCGCTTTTGGTTCAGTGGCTGTAATGGCTCAGGAAACAGATTCAACAGTGAAAAGGAATGTCAAGAAATCTGCATTCAGGGCTGAGCAGGTAAGTCAGCCTGTCATGACTCAAATTTCCATCTCCATCAGCAGGCCCAGAAAGCACCTCTCTAATTTCAACATATTCACCCAACACAGATAAAGCACCATGTTTCATTGCATACAGAGTATTTATAATTTATGAACATAATTGAATCCTTACAACCACACTGGGGTGTGGTTATTACTAACCATTTTTACAGATAAAGAAGCTGAGGCTCTGAGTTTAGTAATTTGTTAACAGTAATTTGTTAACCCAACTAAAAAATGGTGGAGCTGGGGATTGAAAGTAGAGCTGTGCAAGCTCAACACATAGGCTTTAGTGTCTATTTCCCAACCTCAATGTAGCTCTGATTCCTGTTCATTCCTATTCTATGTATTATGTTGAATTAAACTCCTTCCCCAGCCCAGCCCCCCATGCTTTCCTAGTCCCTCTGGTCCCTTCTACCCACTTTAGTCCCCCAAACCCCTCACAGCCCTGCCAGTAGAAAAAAGGTAGGTAGGTGGTGGGAAGGACTTGGTTTGGGAATCAGAAGTGTTGGGAGTATGTAGGAGGGAGTGAGATAAGAAAGATGTCCTGCTTGACAGAAACCTAGCAAGATGGAATGTTTCTGAGAGCTGGGGTAGGAGTGGGAGTGGTGTGGTTAGATTTTTGCCTCACTTGCTTTGAAACTGAGTAAGAAACTCAGTTTGAATTTGAATTTAAGTGACTTAAATGGATTAACAGCTGTCACTCTGCACTCCTCTAACATGTTTGGTAACAAACCTTTATTGTATGTTTAAACTATTGCACACAAGAAATTGTAATTTAAATGAAGAAACTTTTCTCACTCTTCCTTTAAAATATGTAAATATGACTTTCAGTTTTAGGGGGATGGAAAAAGAAGGCACTTGACAGCCAAGAACTACTTAAAGCCCACATCCGCTCTTGAGCAGGGTATTGTAAAGTTAGGTCTTAGGCTGAAAAATGAGCCGCCAAATTGAAATATAACCCACCAGAGTAATAGAGAATTGGCTCTGTCATTTTATAATAATTTTGCGACATCCAGTCTGGGAAGATCATCAGTTCTGAGCTAAGTGCAGACAGCATTTGTATATATCATCTGACAGCACCCTCTCTTCTTCTTTCAGGCCTGCGACCCTCACTCAAGGTCAGCGGCACAAAGAAGAACACTCAAGGAAGGAGGTGCTGGAGGAACAGCTGTCTTAGCAAAAATAATTTTGTGTAGCTTGATTAAATTTTTATGATGTAATATTTAATCCTACAAAAGAATACATGCAATATACGTGTAACTAAAAATGTGATAAGATGAACACCAGTGAACACTTCACACAGAGAATGACCAAACATAACCAATTCTGTTGAAGCTTCCTGTGTACCCCTCAACCATCCTAGCCCCCTATTTCCTGCTGGGGATATTTCATCTTGAATTTTGTGTTTACCATTTCACTTTGCTATTGCTTTTTATATGTAATTTTACATGTAAAACCACATATATCTCTATGTATCTCTAAACAATACTTAGTCTTGTTTATTTTAGAACTTTATAAAAATGGTGCTACACTCTAGTCTTTTGCAACTTGTTATTTTCATTCAATATTATAATTAATCCACATGTTCTTACCATATGTATTCCTAAAAATATCTAAATGTGTTCCCCAAAATTTATTATTTAGGTTTTTTTAATCTTTAGAAAATTTGTTTTATAATATAGGATTCTTTGCAACTTTTATGTTTTTACATTATAATCCATACACATTTATTTACTTTCACAGTTATATAATAATTGTGTGAATATATCATAACATATTTAACCATTGTCTTGTCTATGATCGATTGAATTGTTTCTGCTTATTAATTTATTTTTCACAATTTCAGGAGCATTGCTATGAATGCTCTTATGTGTGGCTTTGGGTATACACACACCAGCCTTTTTCTAGGCTATATACCCAAAAATGAAATTGCTGGGTGGCAGAATATGTAAACATTTGAAAATAGTATATCATACCAAATCAAATTTTTTTCCAAAGTGTTTGAACTAATTCACTATAAACTCTCACCTGTTGTGTATAACAGTTTCCAATGCTTGATATTTTTATCAACACTGAGTACTGTCAGACTTCTTCGTTTTGCTAATACTGGGTAGAAAATGGTATCTTGTATGTTTTTTTATTGTTGACAATATTACAGATATTCCCCATTTTCTTCCTCTTCGCCCCCCTCCACCCTGCCCCCATCCCACGCCAGGCCTTCACATTATTGTCTATGTCCATGCATTATGCATATATGTGTATATGTTCTTGGGTTAAGCTTTGACAACCCTCAGTTCTGTTCCATGCATCCATGCCTCTGGATCTATTTTGTTCATCTGGATCTATTTTGTTCATTAGATTCCACATACAAGTGAGATCATGTGATATTTGTCTTTCTCTTACTGGCTTATTTCACTTAGCATAATACTCTCCAGGTCCTTCCATGCTGTCACAAAAGGTAAGAGATCCTTCTTTTTTACAGCTGCATAGACCTTCTCTGGTGATATTTCGCCCTATTTTTCACCATCTGTGCTGCTTCTGCTTCTGTGAAATGCATGTTTATAATTGGGGAAAATTTTTCTGTTGGATTGTTTGTCTTTTCCTTGAATTTCTGGAGTTTCTTATATATTCTTAAATCAAATTATTTGTTCAATATTTGTATCGCTAATATCTTTGCAGCTTGTTTTTTCACTTTACTCTTTTTCAACAGAAGTTCTCAATTTTAATGCCATCAAATTTACCCATATTTTCTTCTGTGGCTAGCACATTTTATTCCTTGTTTATGCTGATCAACCTCTCAGCCACCTTTCTTGGGTGGGAAACTCTCCCAAGACACACACACACACACACACACACACACACACACACACACACACACACACACAAGGTCTTGGTGTTGAGTGTATCTTTCTAGATTCCTATCTTCATGGCTGGTGATTCCTTGATTGTATTAGCACCTTGGTAATTTCTAGGTGATTTTTTGTTTGTTTGTTTGGTGTGTAGTTTTAGTTGTCCTCAGCATGGAAGTGGATCTGAGCTACAGAGATGGCCATTACCATATTTTATTACTGTGGGATGGAGGGCTTTGGGAATTTTCTTATTTCCTGGAAGTCCAGCAATACATTAAAAAGCATACATTAGTCACCATATGGTTGTTGAAAAGTAGAAAGACCCTTTAGAATACCTAGCCTGCTATTTGCCAGAAGTAGAAGTACTTATATTCCTTTTTCAAGCTTTTCACAACTTTGTCCACATAGAAAATTGATATGCAAACACATTGTAATATTGAGTTGGGAGTTTGTCCCTTTATCTGAGATATCCTTTTTCTCCTTCGGTGATGACCAAATCCTAATACTTCAAGGACAATTTGCAGGCCTCCCCTCCTCCTTTGTGGTACTTTTTCATCAACTGGGCCATGTTCAACATTGAGGGCCCGAGCACTTGGCTTATGCCTCCATTCTACCCCTAGTCTGAACTGCCTTGCACTTAGTGAAGAGCATTTGCATTGGTTTCTTCTTGCTGCTCTAACAAATTACCACAAATTTGGCAGCTAAGCAACACAAGTGTATTATTTTATAGTTCTGTAGGTAAAAAGTCTCATGCAGGTCTCACTGGGCTAAAATCCAGGTGTCAGTGGGATTGTGTTTCTTCGGGTTTCCTTACCTTTTCCATCTTCTAGAGGCTGCCCACTGTCCTTGGCTTATGGCCCCTTCCTCTGTCTTCAAAGCCAGCAGCAGCAAGTTGACTATTTCTCATGCTGCCGTTGCTCTGATTCTCTGACTATAGCGGGGGAAGGTTCTCTGCTTTTAAGGACTCATGTAATTAGATCAGACCCACCTGGATACTCTTCCATCTCAAAATCTTTAACCTTAATCACATCTACACATTTCCTCTTGCCCCATAAGGTAACTGTTTAAAGGCCCTGGGGCTAGGGAATGGACATTGTTACAACCATTATACCCCCAATCACAGCATCTGTCTTGCTCTCTGAGTTTAGGAGCAAGACATGTCTTATTTATCTGTGTGTCCCTAATTCCTGGCACATAGGAAGAACAATGCATTTAAAAAATATATTAGAACTCACTGTTTTATTACATAAATAGATAATTGCTTGGAAGAGGGATAGATGAAGGATCAAAGAGGCTGAATTGAACAATATGAGAATTAATTCTGGAAAAGAAAATGATTTATGTTTTTGCTTTAAGCTAGTTAAAAGGCCAATATAGATGGAGGAGAAATATGACATTCTGTTCCTCCATTTTCAAATGAAAAAATGACAGACTATATATTATATGTGTGAGAAGTAACAATGTGTATCTAAAATAGTCCCCATTTTAAATTGATAGTGAGAAATTTTTAATATTTTATCAAGTACTAATGATGTTGAAGAATGTCAACAATGAAAACATTCCATAGAAATGTTAAAATATCTTAGGTGATCAATTCATCATTTTCATTCAGTTAAAACAACTTTGCCAACTGCAAGAAATGCTCTACTCAGGGGTCTGAAGAGCATGCTAAATGTATAAAATGACAAATAGGCTTGGTGATTTTAGTCATAATGTTTACCCTAAACTCAACAAAAAGTAAACGAGAGAATGAGAGAAAAATATTTTCAAGTAACATGTAACAGAATTGTTTCATATCTCTAGTAAACCAAGAGGTCCCATAAACGAAAAACAATGAAAAGAAAAAAATTTTAAAAATGATAGAGATTGTCAATTCAAAGGACATGGCCAATAAACCTGTGAAGAGATGCTCAGCTTCATTAACTGCCAGATAAATGCATGCTAAGTAGATCTAGGATGAGACTGGAACACCCACAGGGAAGTCTGCTGAGGAACCCCAGCTGAAAACCAGCAAGGACACATGTGCGTTATGCTAGCCTTAGGAGAGACTCTATTTGACCTGGAATTTTAGGTGTTCAACTGTTTATGCCCTTTTCTCTATAAATCTATAATTCAATGTCTTTTGTCAAGAGCAATGCAAAGATGAATTAATGCTGTTGAAGTGTCCAGGATTTCCCCCCTCCTTATTAATACCTTTTTGATAATGTCACTAAAATAAGACGTTTTAGAATGTGTGGGTATGTGTGTGTATGGGTGTGTGAGAGTGTGATCGTCAAAACAAGAATAGCCCCAAATCATACTTCACCCATATATTTATGGTACTTTGGGTTTTTAAAAAAATATTGAACTGATTTGAATTTTAAAAGCATTATTTTTTATCATTTTATAAAAATTAATACCTTTGAAAATTTCATTTAAACAAATTCATTTAAAGTCACACTGGACTATGAAAGTTAGGAATTTTTAAACCCCGCTTTAATCAGGATGAAAACTAAGGGCTCTGAGAATCTCCAAGAATCTTCCAGTTCTGTGACTCTTCTGTTGCTTATATCTTTTATACAAATACCCTAAGTGACTGGGCATTCTTGGGGTGAACATTTCTGGTAGGACAATTATCCCATTCTTTAGACAACACCAACTCTCACTGCTGCAAGTTGAGCTGGATGCATCTTGTGGCTTCTGCCCTAACAAACTCCCACGCTGACCTGCAGAGCCTTTTCTAATGACCGTGTTATTATTTTAAGACCAGTGATAAGTCCTTTTTGATTTGGGCTGCTTCTGTAGCCTCTGCTATTTCTGTGGCTCTTTTTTCATCCTAGCCTCTAATTCTGAGCATGCCCTCCAGTATGTGAGGATGTTCCTAGTAACTAGAGTAGGGGAGAGGAGCAAATTAACACATCCTTTGTTCTAAATATTATGTTCCTATGGAATATTAAAAACTGAAGATGACTGCCACTTTAATAGAAGACATGGGGAAATTTCCCTCTATCTTAGAAGCCAAAAGAAACAGAGGAATTACATGGTAGGAATTCTCAATGGTAAACTAGGCCTCGTGCATTACAAAGAGGGCAAAGACTTCTCTTCTGGTTTCTCTTTGAAATTGACTAGAGGCTTCAAAATAATTGTATTTTTGCCATTCTTCAAATTTGCCCTTAAACTCTGCATTCACAGTTTCCTAACATTATTTTTAAGTACTAACAGAATTCTCCAGTTATTTCCTCCTTAGCACATTAGTTGGTGTCTTAAGTTTGTTCCTTGGATGTTTTCCCCCTCTCACATCTTAATGAAGAATGCTATGAATTGGGATTTTTCTCAAATTGATTCTATTATGAATAAATCACTGTTCAGACTTGCTTTTAGCTGTTTAAAGCAAAACAAAACAGAACATGTTTCTCATGGGGGGAAAGAAACCCACAAAAACCCAACAACCCCTGCCTTTATGTAATTGTCTCATCTACAGTGTTCCAAGAAATAAATACTGGAATTTGAGGACTTTCCCTGTGGTGTATTCCATTGTTATTAGAAAAATATTGACAAATACAGTAAAATGGATTAAAATTGTGCCTCTTCAAATTTTAGAGCGTTGCCAGAGCTCTTTCCATACTAAAAGTAAGAGGCCAAATCTGTCAAATTTACTTTGTCCCACTCTACAGCTTCATGACAAACCAGCAGTCCCTCTGTACTCCATTTCTCTGTGAATGGCGCACTCACTCAGCCAGTGACATTGGCCTCTGAGAGACATCCTAGACTCTTTCCTCCCCCTCACTCCCCATATCCAATTGCTCACTGGATCTGGCTTCTTTCTGTTCCTCTCTGCCCTGAGTCTGT